TGTCAATTCTTGAAAGGCTTTAGTGTCTGATGTCTCAGGGAAGCTAGGTTCCTAATGACCAAAAAAAGCTGTGTGCCCACAAGCTGCCAAGGGAATTCCTTGTTGCTTCTCATTTGCTCCAATGTCATTTGCCCAGAAAAAATAATGCATTCTTTCCACATACTGGCCCAGTTTTTGGCAGCAGGATCAAGCGAGTCAAGCTTTCCTAATGACAGCATGATGCCAGAAATGCTTAATGCAATTCAGAGACGGCTGTTGTGAGCGAATTTCTTCAGGATCATGCTTTTTTCTCGTCATCACTGAAATAATTCTACAGAGGCCTGTATCCTGTAACCAAGTCACCCTTTATTTACACGTGGAGAGCCCTTGACCCTGATCCAGCTTCCTCAGAGCCAGCTTTCAGAATGAACAGGATGTCTGACACTGCTGCTTTTATCTATCAGCCAGGGCTCCCTGATTGGACCAGATTAACAGCCCGAATCCCTGCTGTAATCAGACTTTTGAATGGACCTCTTTAATGTTAATGTTGATCTCTTTCTGCACCTTCTTAACAGTTGTAACTTTGTATCCTGCATCCCGTTCTGTTACCTTGATGCTCTTGGATACTACGATCTATCTGTAAAGCGCATAAGACGCCACTTTTCACTGTACCTCAGTACACGTGACAATAATAAATCAAATAACATTAAATCAAATCAATTAGGAGACTCATGTTATTTGAGGTCCCTCTGGCTGACCTTGTTACAATGATTACAGAATGTGTGGTGGGGGAATGACTGTTGTCAATTTAATGAAAGAAGGGAAGATGAAGGAAAAAAAGTGCTGTGTATACCCCATAGTATGTTTTTCTCTTTGTTCATTGATGTGGGCATTGCTGACTAATCCAACACTTATTGTCCAGTTCAAATTGCTTGGAAGGTAGTAGAGAGCTGCTTTCTTGAACTGCGTGTGTGTGTGTGTGTGCGCGTGTCACACCACAGGGCAGATCGGAAGGGAGTCCCAGAATTTGACCTAATAACAGTGAAGGGTGAAATACTTCCAAGCCAGGATGGTGTAAGGCTTGGAGGGGAACCTGTAAGTCATTCTGCTCCCTTTGTGCCACAGCATACTGCTGTAATTTAGATGTGCGAAACCCAAGAGAAACTCAACATTTGTTGTTACTGTGAAAGGACTTCATATTGGTTCTTCAACATTTCAGATAGTTTTGCTTGTTGCCTTTTTAAGGAGTTTCAGGCCAAAAGGTTCTTCCCTTTAATTAAACTCTCAGCCATCTCTTGATTTAATTGAGATGATATCCTGGAAGAGAATGACTAGAATTTCCTGGATGTTGAATGTCAGCCCATTCAAATTTAGAAAAGGTCATACGCAAAGCAAGTCAATTGCACAGTCTTGTTTAAGTCTGAATTATTTGCTCCTCGCCTGAAAATGGCAGAAATGTCATTGTATAATAGGATTAGTACAAGAATCTGAACTGCAATCATTTTTTTAAAAAACTGCTTCGTGTATATTTAGCATACATAAAGCTGCAAAAGACTCCATATTGGCCACGTTGTGATTTTCTTAATATGGAATAAGTAATGTAAATGCAGTTATTTCAACAATCACATACAAGAATAAACAAAATGATATTACCCGCTCCCTTGGTTAGAGATGCTACCATTGCCTCTTCCTAGGATTCTTCCTTCAATTATGTACATTCAATTCTATCTATTTCCTGCTTTTTTCCTGTCTCCCTTCCTTCCTCCCTTCCTTCCATGTCTTTAGATCATCCTCTGGTCTAGGGTCTGAGGTTCCGCTACTGTTCACTTTACTTTGCCTGTAAAAGCAAGAAATTAGTATCCAAACTCACCTTTGAATTGTTCAATGATAGGAATAGGAGCAAAGAATTTAGCCCATTGAGTCTGCCTCACCATTCAATATCATAAATGTTTAGTGCCTTTTCCCGTAGAAATCTGTTCATCTCTACTTTAAACATACTCAATAACTGAGCTTCCACGGCCTTAAAGGGCAGAAAATTCCAAAGGTTCACAATCTTCTAAGTAAAAGAAAAATTCTCCGCAGTCGTGTGAATTCTCCCTTATTTTAAAATTGTGTCCTGATTCTAGACTCCCCAGCCAAGGGATGCATATTATCTGTATCTATCCTGTCTGTCCCTTTAGTTATCTTGTGAGTGTAAAGAAGATCACCTCTCATTCTTCTAAACTTTAGCAAATGCAGGCCAGTTTTCCCAATCTTCCTAGGATAATCCTTTCATCCTGGGAAAATTTCTGATGAACATTCATTGCACACTGTCAATGGCAATAATATCCTTGCTAAAGTAAAGGGAATAAAACTGCACACAATACTCATGATGCAGTCTAACTAAAGTTCTATATGATTCAAATAAGTCTTTGCTATTCTGGTGCTTGAACCCCTCTTGCACTTACATTTACATAGTGACTTTCATGAATACCAGATGCCTCAGAGTGCCAATTTACAACCAGTGAATTACTTTTAACTTGTGGTTGCTGTTGTACTATAGGAATTGTGACAGTTAATATACACATAGCAAACTCCCATGAACAGATATGTGTTGATGATAGGATTTGTTTTTGTGATGTTGATTGAGAAATCAGTATTAGGTACAACTCCTCCTCTTTAATGTAGTACACAGTGCCTGGGTTTTGTGTCTCACCTGAAATCCACTAATGTGCAATAACTCCGTACAGTGCTGGAGCATCAGCCAAGATTGTTTTGCTGAAGTCCTCGGATAGGCTTAATCCCACAAAACTGCAGCTTAAGAAAATTGCTATCAACTGAGCCACTGATGACACGATGTGGTTGTGTGATCCTCTTACCAGTAATTCTCACAATATGATCAATCTGTTTCAGCTTCATAAGAAATAAGAGCAGGAGTAGGCTATTCAGCCCATCAAGCCTCTCTGTCATCCAGTAAGATCATGGCTGATCAAATTGTGACATTTGTTCCAGTTTCCTGACTGTAACCAATAGCCCTTAACTCCCTTTTTGTTTAAAAATCTGCTCATCCTATATTCCATGATCTGGCCTCCATTGCTTCCTGAGAATTCTCAAGACTAACAACAATCTGAGAAAAGAAATTCCTCATTTCTGTATTAAATGGGAGTTCGCTTATTTTGGAACTGGATCTCGGTTCTGGAGTCCCCAAAATGAAAGGAAGCACCCATTCAGTATTTTACCTGCCAAGTCCTCCCTTATGTTTCAGGAAGGTCAACTCTCATTCTTCCAAACTCCAATAAGTATAGTTACAACCTGCTGAGCCTGTCCACATGAGAATTTATTTGTCCCAGAAATCAGCAGAATGAACATTCTCTGAACTCTCCTAATGCAATTATATCCTCCTTAAATAAGGAGACCAAAACCATACACAGTATTCCAGGTGTAGTCTTACTGATAACCTGTACAGTTGAAACAGCACTGCTTTACTTTTATTCTGTATCATCCATGCAAGAAAAATGAACAATCTGTTAATCTTCTGAATTAATATCTGCACAAAAATACCCAGATCCTGCAGGCATTCAGCAGTCTCTTCATATTTGAATAATATATTGTTTCTGTTCATCCCACCAAAGTGGAAAATCTCACATTTTCTCACATTATGCTCTAACTGCTAATTTTTGCCCAACTCACTTAGTCTTTACATATTCCTCTACAGACCATTTGTGGCCTTCTCGCAACTTGTTCTCATATCTGTTATATATTATCAGTAAATTTGGCTGCAATGCAGTCTGTCCCATCATCCAAGTCATTGACATAGAATTCCCAACCTTTAATTTGGTTTTGTTGCTAATTTGATATGTCCAATCTGTATGAGAATAAAAATTGCCCACATTTATTACAGCATCTTTCTTACAATTCACCAATGTTTCTTGATTTAAATTGTATCCTACAGTGTAGCTACAATCATGGGTGTTATAACCCATTCTAACCAGTGACCTCTTTTCTTTCCTATTTCTTAACTCTACCCAAACTGTTTCTACATTTTGATCCTTCAAACCGAAATCACTTCTCACCATTGTACTGATCTCACTCTTTATTAACAGAGCTACCTTCTGAAGTGTCATATAGCTTTCAATACTCAGGTGTCAGCTTTAGTCACTTCCAACCATGTCTCTGTATGGCTGTCATGTTAATTCATGGGACGCAGTGGTACAGTGGTACGGGCTTGGAGCTTGTAATCCAGACACCCAAACTAATGCTCTGGTGACATAGGCTTGAATCATCTCTGGCTGTTAGCAACATTTCAATTCAAACAGTAAATACGAAATTTTTGAAAAGTGGGCCGAATGGTAACCACACAACAGTTATCAATTGTTGTAAAAAGCAACCTGCTCCACTAATGTCGTTTAGGCAAGGAAAATCTGCCATCCTCACTTGTCCTAGCCCACTTGTGACAGCAGACTCACAATAATGTGGTTGACTTCTACTTGCCCTGTAGATTGGCGAAGCAAGCCATTCAGTTCAAGGGCAGCTGGGATAGGCAGCATATGCTGGCCTTGCTAGCAATGCCCACATCCCATGAAAGAACAAACATACAATACTCACTCATATCAATGAGTGCCATTAATACAGCTCTCTTGGTACAAATGCTCTGTGCATTTTGATAATAAGCCTTTAATTCTGACTTTTCACCATTTTTGCTAACTGACTTTCTTCTGGTGCACTGTTAGATTTGGTACTCAGATTTGCACCTTTAGATCTACTGATGGCAAATCTGGGCATGGAAACCCCATTTGGTGCTGATATTGGGACCGTGAAATCTGTGCTGAAATCTAAACCTTGAGTTCAGTTCAGTACGTGACTAAGTGGCACCTATGCCTACAGAGCCTTTAGGTTCTTTTTTAAAAAAGCTTTAATAGCTAGACTTCATTTTGAATCATGTTGAGAATATTAACCTTGTGTTCTGTAAATAAAAAGGACTGTGTCCTTAGGTTAATGATATATACCTCACAGAATAATAAAGGATTTTGCTTTCTTTTCAGAGGTGTGGAGCTACCTCATTTGACAGTCCTGATCAGAATGCCCTATGTGTTCGCATGCTAGGTAAGATTTTTATTTACAAGCTCAATATGCAGAGTTTAAAATTTAAAATTCCAAATGCTTTATCTTGTTTTATGTAATGTTTTGTTCATTCTACATTCTATGTATAATATATATATAATGTGTGTGTATATAATATATTTTTTATATATATATAAAGCTTTTGCTACCTCGCCATCAGTGTCTTTGTTTAAGGATTTACGGATTGTGCGCTCTGGATTGAAATTACTTCTGGTTCTTATTCCAGGGTTGTGGTCCATTATTGGTTACTGCAGCCCTGCGTATAGAATGGACAAAGTAGCCAACAATTCCTGCTCTTGATTGCTATCTGATAATCTTTCTTGGAAAGAGTATGCCTGTTTGTCTGTGTCCGGTAAGGATACTCTTGTCTTGACTATGAGGTTAGAAATTCAGGGCTCACCATGAGTTTCTGGGAACCAAATTAACCATACATTTTAAGAATGGCTCCAGGAAATTTACCATGAATTTCAATTTTGATAATGAAAGCCCAAGTATTTGACTAATATCTTTCAGGGATGTGATCCTGACAGCTTTTTTTGGTCTTAGTCTGTAAGACTATAAGATATAGGAGCGAAAATAGGCAGCACAGCCCATCAAGTCTGCTTCCTCATTCAAATGAGATCATGGCTGATCTGATCATTTTAAACTCCATTTTCCTGCCCTATCCCTATAACCATTGATTCCTGTAAGGATTAGAAATCTCTTTATTTCAGCCTTGAATATACTTAACAAGTGAGCCTTTATATCCCCGTGCAGTAAAGAATTCCACTGATTCACTGCCCTCTGAGTGAAGAAATTCCTCCTCATCTCTGTCTTAAATGGGCAAGCCCTTGCTCTGAGATTATGTTAGCTGATTGAGGACTGCCCCAGAAGGTGAAACAACTTCGCTACATCTATCTTGTCAAGCCACCTAAAACTTTTATATGGTTCAATAAGGCCACCTTTCATTCTTGTAAGCTCCAATGTGTAAAAGCTTCTCAACATCTCATCATAACCCTTCCATTTTAGGCAATCTACCTAGTGAATCTTCTCTGTACAGCCTCCAGTACCAATATATCTTTCCTGAGATGTGGGGCCCAAAACTATTCCCAGTAATCCAGCTATGGGTTGACTCGTGCCTTGTATAGTTTTAGCAGGATTTCCCTATTTTTATACTTCATTCCCTTTTGCAATGAAGACCAATATACCATTTGACTCCCTGCTGAACCTGAATGCTAACATATTGTAATTTACACATGAGGACTCCCAAATTCCTCTGTGCTGTAACTTTTTTCATTTAAATAATATTCAGCTCTTCTATTCTTCCTGCCAAAGTACAGAACCACACATTTCCCCACATTATATGCTGTCTGCCAAGTCTTTGTCCACCCACGTAACCTGTCTGGCATCTGTAGACTCCTTGTGTCATTCTCTCTACTTCCCACTATTTTGATATTTAGTTCTGTTTCCCAGCATGTTGTTGCCTTCTAATGTGCTCAGGGAACTTAGTGATGATCAAAAAACGTTGTTGTGTCCATATTGCTCACATTCTAAGAATGAAAGCTAAAAATTCTGGAATATTCAATCACTATTCACTGTGCCCACTATCATAAATAAGATGTTGGGTAAGATACTACAGTCTTCTTGATGCTAATAGAACTATAGCAAGTATCATTATTCATAAATAAAGAAAATTAAAAAGATGGCTTTATAGTACCATGTTCATTATTGAACCACAAATATGGGTCATTCATTACAGAAGAAATGTTAGCCCTACAGTAATGCAGGATGAAACTTATATATTTGGACCTTTAAATCAAGCAGCAGCATAGTTTGTGGCATTAGGTCCCATGTGAAAATTTGTATAATTTCAGCCACATCATTAACTCGAACCTAACTTTTCCAAAGTAAATTAGAAACTGCAGCTGTAAATGTGACAGCATCCGTTTTCCTGGATGTTCCGGGAAGATAGTGTAGCACTTGGAATAACTGTGAAGCAGACTGAGCAAGAGAAAGGAGGAGCCTGTGTTTCTGAAATAGTGTGAGAGAGAGCAGGGACAGCAGCTTTGTAAAAAGCAGGCGAGAGAGTAGAGTCAGCACCTTCCCAAATAACAAGAGAGAGTGGGACAGCAGCCTCATGAAGACCTGAGTAAGAAGGGCAGCAATAGTGGGAGATAAAAACTGCCCACAGACAGCCCCTTTAACTTGTTTCTTCCTGTAACAGCCCATGTCTGACATCACAAGAAAATAGGTAATCGATGGGACCATGTCCTTTGATTGGCCAATTGGTTTCAATCAGGAAACATTATTACATCTAACACTACAGTTAAGAAATTCATCTTTAAAACATTTAACATCCAAATTCATTAATTGAATAGATTAGAAATGGCTGGTTAATGGTAATGTGTTGCAGCTGTAGTATGTAGGAGTTGGTGGATGCCAGGGTAATCCATGGTGATCACATCGGCAGCAAATGTTAGCTGCTCAAGAAACATCAGCTTATTAGGGAGGGGAAAGGGTACCTGGATAGTATGTTTCAGCACACAGTCATAACCCTTAGATTAATTACATTAAATTTGATCTTGGCTAGGGACAGGAGGGTATGACTATGAGTGAGGCAGATATTGGAATCCAGAACTTACCTTTGGAGGAGCCTCAGACAGTTTCTTAATCGAATAGGGACAAGGTGTGGTGTGGATGAGGGCACAGACTGCAGTCAGGATAAGCAAACTGACAGTAGCAGCATGGTCCAGAACGTTGTTTAAGTGGGGAGAGAAAAGAGAAAGGTAGCAGCAATAGTGGATAGCATAGTTAGGGGAATCGATGCAGCAAAGACAGAGAGTCCCGAAGGCTGTATTGCCTACCTGCTGTCATGATTCAGGGCATCGCTTCTGGGCTGGAGAGGAATTTGGAGTAGGAGAGGAAGGATCTAGTTGTCATGGTACCGGTGACATACATAAGCATAGGAGAGAGTTTCTGTTGAGGGATTATGACCAGCTTGGGGCAAAATTAGAAAGCAGAACCACAAAAGTAATAATAATGATTGCAACTTTAGCCATATGTAAATTGGCATAAGGTAAATAAGATTTGAGACTCAAAAGTGTGGCTTGGAAGTTTGGTGTGGGAGAAATGAGTTTCAATTCATGTGATGCTGGTACCAGTGGGGGAAAGAGGGAGCTTTTCCATTGAGATGGGCTTTATTTGAACCATGCTGGATCCAGCGGTCCAGCAAATCATATAAATAGGGTGTAGATGGGGCTTTAAATTAGTTATTGGTGGGAGGAGAGGGTTCAATTGAAGGGAAGTTTAATAAGTCAAAAAGAAACAGGAGATCAGAGGGTCAGGGTAGGGAAGAGGGAAAAATAATCAAAATGTGACAGAAAGGGGTAGAAAATACACAGAAAAATGCCACAGAACTTTGAACCAGAGAGAGTAATAATGGTAAAAAGTCAAAGCTTAAGGCAGTTTATATGAATGCACATAGCATTTATAAGAAGAGAGATGAGTTGACAGCATTTATAAGAAGAGAGATGAGTTGACAGCATAAGTAGAAATCAATGAATATGATTTGATAGATACTACAGGGACACGGTTGCAGGGCGATCAGGACTGTGACCTCAATATTCAAGGTATTCAGCATTCCAAAAGAATGTTAAAAAGAAAATGGAGATGGGTAGTTTTGTTAATGAAGGTATCAGTGCGGTGATGAATGTGAATTCGGTTGAATGGAAATAAGGAATGGCAAGGGAAAAAAGTCATGGTTCGGAGTCATCTATAGGCCGCTGAAGGCTTACCTCACTGTAGAACAAAGTATACATCAGGAAATAATGGAGGCACGTAAAAATGGCACTATAATTGGCATGAGTGATTTCCATAAGCTATACAAAAGCCTGGTTCAGCCACATCTGGAGTATTGTGTCCAGTTCTGGTTGCCTCATTACAGGAAAGATGTGGAAGCGTTGGAAAAGGTGCAGAGAAGATTTACCAGGATGTTGCCTGGAATGGAGGGAAGGTCTTATGAGGAATGGTTGAGAGCGCTAGGGCTTTTCTCTTTAGAACAACGAAGGATGAGAGGTGACTTGATAGAGGTGTACAAAATGATCAGAGGTATAGATAGAGTGGACAGCCAGAGACTTTTTCCTTGGGTGGAGGTAGCTATTATGAGGGGGCATAGTTTTAAAGTGAGTGGAGGTAGATATAGTGAAGATGTCAGAGGTAGGTTCTTTACTCAGAGAGTGGTAGGGGCGTGGAATGCATTGCCGGAGAGGGTAGTGGAGTCGGCCTCAGGGGCATTTAAGCGGCTATTAGATAGGCATATGGATGATAGCATAAGGTAGGGGTGGAGGTTAGATAGACCTTAGGTTTAGGGTAAAAGTTCGGCACAACATCATCGGCCGAAGGGCCTGTACTGTGCTGTACTGTTCTATGTTCTATGTTCAATCTGCATATTGACTGGACAAGGGCAACATGGGGAATTTCTGGAGTGCATCAAGGATGGCTTCTTAAAGCAGTATGTTACAGACGTACTGGAGAGACAGGCTACTTTATATCTAGCAATACGTAATGAGATAGGATTCATAAGAGGTCTCATTGTTAGGGATCATCTTGGAGGTAGTGATCACAGCACAGTAGAATTTCAAATTCAGTTTCAGAGCAAGCAAGTCAAGTCTCAAACTAGATTTCTATAATACTTCACAAAAATTTATTCCACTCAAAGAGAAGGACTCTGTAAGAAAGATAAACAACATGTGATTAAAAAAGGTTGTCAAGCAAAGTGTCCAATCAAAAACTAAGGCCAGGCGATTGGGAATGTTTGAGGAACCAGTTGCAAATGACTGAAAAGATAATAAAGAGGGAGAAAATTGATTATGAAAGTAAGTTGGCAAGAAATAGATAAACAACCAGCAAAAGCTTCTACAGGTGTATAAAATGAAAGAGAATAGCTAAAGTAAGTGTGGGACTCTTGGAGAATGCAACTGAGGAATTGATAACAGCGAACAGTG